CTTACATCTATTGAGGGTTCACTGTGGGCCAGGGATGATTCTAAGTGCTTTACATGGTTTTACTTAGTGTTCAAAACATTCCTGTGAGATAGGATTTTGATAGACAGTCAGTCTGAGGCAGGACAGCGAGGACAGACTGAAAAGAATGAATAAGGCTGGGCACGGTGGTTCACGCCTATAATCCCAGCACTTTGGGAGGACGAGGCAGGTGGATCACTTCAGATCAGGAGTTCGAGACCAGCCTGGCCAACATATAGCAAAACCCCGTCTCTACTAAAAAAATACAAAAATTAGCCAGGCATGATGGTGCACACTTGTAATCCCAGCTACTTGTGAAGCTGAGGTAGGAGAATCACTTGAACCCGGGAGGTGGAGGTTGCAGTGAGCCAAGATCATGCCACTGCACTCCAGCCTGGGCAACAGAGCAAGACTCTATCTCTCAAAATAAAATAAATAAATAAATAAGTAAATAAATAAATAAATAATCAACAGAATGAATAAAAACCTAGAGGCAGGAAAGACATGCTGATTTTTTTTTTTCTTTTTTTAAGACAGAGTTTCGCTCTTGTTGCCCAGGCTGGAGTGCAATGGAGCAATCTCGGCTCACTGCAACCTCTGCCTCCCGGGTTCAAGCAATTCTCCTGCCTCAGCCTCCTAAGCAGCTGGGATTACAGGCATGTGCCACCATGCCCGGCTAATTTTTTGTATTTTTGGTAGAGATAGGGTTTCATCATGTTGGCCAGGCTGGTCATGAACTCCTGACCTCAGATGATCCACCTGCCTCGGCCTCCCAAAGTGCTGGGATTACAGGCGTGAGCCACCACGATTTCTGAAGATGGTGATGAGACTGGTAGCTAGCGTGAAAAGCTTGTCTTAAGCAATAATGACAAACGATGTTGGACAGAGTGGGGCAAAATTATAGGAGGTCTTGACAACCAAACACTCCAAAATTTGGCTTTATCTAATGGGCAAAACAAAGAGCAGTTATAAAGATATGACTTGGGGAAGGGAGAATACAGAATGAAGTAGAGTTTTTGGCACACTGACTTGGTGACATGCATTGTGAGGCCCCAGGGACCCACTGACTCTGCTTCCACTTTTGGTTACCACTAGCCACCAACAGAAGAGTACTAGCACAGTTTCCTATAAAGTGGGGGCTTTAAACAGGTTTATTGAGTGAGTGAGTAAATAAAGGATGGACTGAATAAATAAAGGATTAATGGGAGGCTGTTTCTAGGGGTGAAGTGATGGGAGATGGGGCTATGTTTAAGACAATGGAAATGGAAATCGGGAAGTAAATCCTAGAAACAATTTCAAAGAAGAAATCATAAGACTTGGATACATAGTGAACATAAACTACCATTTAAAGCTGTATTTCAAATGTATTATTTACCGCAGAATGCAGTGTCAGAGCAGTTGCCTTTGGAATATTCTAAGTTTTTGTTAAGTAGAAATTCTGCATTTGGAACAGAAATCACATGTCTCATGCTGTTATATGTAATGATTATTACCATGAAAACTCATGTCTCTTTTACCTTCTACTCCTATTCCATCCACCCAAGTTCTTACTAGTTTTACCTCCTAATGGGATTGTTGTTGGGGTCTCCTACTGAACTCCGGCCAAATAAACCTCCTCATCCTCAATCATACCTGATAGTTGCTGCCTCTCACCTTTTTGTTCATACAGTTGTGTTCCCCCATGAATGTTCTTTCTTCTATAATAGCATTTCATTCCCATGAGCAGTTGGAACCTTAGCCATCCTTCAGAATCAGATCACATGCTGCTTCTCCATGCTGTCTGATCAACCCAGATGGAACCTACTGCTCTCTTTTCTGAATTCCCATAGCCACTTACATTTCATTATACTGCCTTGCCACTTGGGTAACTGGGTATCCATTTGCCAGTGTTTTATTTGTATCCCCTACAATGACAGTACTGTGTGTTACCTGGTTATCCAATACATATTTATAACATGAAATCAAACTATCTTAAATACTCCAAATCCCTTCCCAAACAAGAATTTCCTTCTGCCATTAGTGTATTCAGCTTTGCCCTAGCATACATTTTATGCAACATCGAGAATTTCACATCACTTTTGTTGGGGACACTTAGAAAAAGAAGGAATTTTAAGTTGAGAACAGAAAAGAATTGTTAAAGTGGAAGTAGAGGATTAACCATTTTTTCAAGGAATCTTTTGGATAGATAAAAGAATCTGGGGAAAACTAAGCCTGAACCTTTACTGCTGCCTTCCTGCCCCTTAAGGTGAAGAAAAGTGAACTGCATAAAAAAGAGGCATGGGTCCGAATGCAGTGGCTCACACCTGTAATCCCAGCATTTTGGGAGGCCGAGGTGGGAGGACTGCTTGAGGTCAGGAATTCAGGAGCAGCCTGGGCAACAGAGGGAGGCCCTGTCTTTAGAAAAAATATTAGAAATTAGCAGGCTATGGTGGCATGTACATTTAGTCCCAGCTACTGACGGCTGAGGCAGGAGGATCGCTTGAGCCCAGGAGTTCAAGGCTGCAGTAAGCCACGATCACAACACTGAACTCAAGCCTGGGAAATAGAGTGAGACACTGTCTCTAAAAAACAAAAATTTCAAGAAAGGGTTTTTGTTTGTTTGTTTGTTTGTTTATAAAAGAGGCTTGGGATTCCAGCCTTTGGGTCCTTGGGAACCCAGAAGGACCTGAGAGTTGGAAATCCACATTACTGAGGAGCTGGATAAAGGAATGATGAGAAAAAGGTGTCTCTTAGCAGGCATATGTTATCTGCCAAAAGGCAAACTTAATCTGTACGCTTATCTCTGAATTTGCCATGGAGAGTGATTTTAGACTCTCTAAAGAATAAGAAACTTTTTGTGTCCACCCATTATTACTAATGTAGGATGTGGAAATAGTTACTTGGTTGTTTACCGTTATTTTAATGAGGGTAGAAATAATTCATTTCCTTGGTTCACTCTTGACTTACTCTATTTTGTTCTTAAAATCTTAGGCTCCTCAATCAAGAATTCTACTGCTAGGACTTTCAGGAACCTAATGTTGTAGGCTGGAGCAGGCTGTTAGAATAATATTCAGCCAGTATTTTTGGAACTGTTAAACCTGGCTAAACAGGTGTCATTCCACAGTGAAGTTGGCAATTCTTGAGGCTCCCAGAAAGTGACTGCTATCTAATGACTCAGCCTTGGACACGTCTCTGCTGTTGTCTTAAAATACCCTTCTTCCCTTCATTTTTACTTTTTTTGCAAAGTTAACCCACACTTATCCTACATATTTACCCAGATATCATCTCTTCCAAAAAGTCTTCCCTTGCCACTTCATTAAAACCACTCCCCTGGGTTGGGCGCCACTCTTGCCCCTTCCCACAGTGGCCTGGGCTTTCACATAACACTTAGTTCGCCGTGTGGCAGTTGCCATTCGCGGGTCCTTCTCCCCACTGTGTAAGTTCCTCCAAGAGCCCTGTGGGTGCCAAGCTGACTTGGAAGGCTATGAGGGCTCAATACACACACTCATTACTCATTGGATGAATAAATGCACAGTCTCTGTATAGGAAATGCAGGTGAACGTCCTTCTGCCTCATTTAAGTGAGCTGCTAATATCGGAGTTTTAGGATAATTTTGGAGAACTGCAATCCGCCTGTCTTCTCCCTACCCCACGGAGTTGGCTAAACCAGCCTGGAGACTAGCAGTTTGCCTGTGTGCCCTAAGCTAGTGACAGCTCATATCAAGCCCAATATTTAAGGAGCATGATTACTTTTACTATGTAGTCCCCAGGGAGAAAAGGAGACTCACAAAACATTTTTGTATCTTTTTGTATCTTGTTACACAAGATACAAACTTGTGCACCAAGATACAAATTGAAACTCGAATTGAAATTTGGCTGCCAATTTATTAAACCCACCTCAACAATTTTCTCTATTTAAAAAAAAAAAAAAAAAAAAAAAACACGAAAAGAGAAGAGATCTCTGGTACCCATTTTCATGTAATATAAACCGATGCCACCAATCTATCATATCCATCTAAATCCAATAATTCAGCTTTTTGTTTGTTTGGCGGGAGTACGACAGGTCTTTATATGATTCAGTGTTACAAAGTTTTTCGGAGGACAAATGGTAAGTGTGAACCCACGGCTATATGAAGCCGCCGTTTCTTTGAGTACAAAATCATGAGCTAGACCTAAAGAACCGGCTTTAAATTCTGAAGTAAATCTGGCTTCTAAATGTTACGGTGGTGGGTAATAATTTCCTTTGCTTCAGTTACTATCTAAAAAGTAAGTATGTGTAGATAAAAATGCATGATTTTAAAAAATCTACTTTGTAGAATAGGATACTATCATTTATATTAAGCCCAATGCGTGGGAAACGGATCAATGACTTGATGCAGTGCCTATAAAATATTATAATCCAAAGTTGCATTAGGACATAAAAATAACTGCTGATAAAAGTTTACTCAAAGTAGCATCTGCCCCTAATTCAGTTTGTATTTTTATCGTAAAGACCTAAGTCGCCGCGGGAACTAGGCTGTGCGTTCGCCCCCCGCGGCAGACGGCGGCGCGCGGCGCCTCAGGAGCGCCCCTCCGAAGCCCTGCGGGGGCGGCCGCTGGCGGACACCCCACAGAGGTCCGAGCTCTCCGAGTCCCCGGTCCCCGGGCCCGAGCCCCGCCTGCCACTCTCCCCAGCTGCCTTTCCAAACACCGCCGTGCTGGTGTTTTCCCGCACCTTGTTCGCCCGTCAGAAAACGGCGCTGGGAGGGAGCAAGCGTGAGAAAGTGAGCGTGTGCGCGGCCGGAGAGCACGACCCAAGAGCCGACGCCGGGTGTCCGAGCGCCCAGTCCGCCCTGTCCGCCCCTGGGCCCGCGAAGGGCGGGGGCCCGGAGTAGCGAGGCGCGGGAAGCGAGGCCGGCGGGTGCCGGGGGTTGGCGGGACGCGCGCTCCGTGCCGGCGCCGGCCTCGAGCCCGCGCTCCCTCCCCCCGCCCGCGTGCCCGCGCCGCTGCGCGATGCAGTGTGGGGAATGGCTGGGGTTGGCTGAAGAGCGCACAGTGGAGTTTTAATGTCCGCCATGTTGGCCATGGCGTATTGAAGAGAGCGAGCGAGAGAGGAGCGGAGCGGCACAGCCTCCCACCCTCCCGGCTGGTGTTAGTGCCCGGACGGCGGGCTCAGCGCTCCGCCCCTCAAGTCCCCGGCAGCGGTTGGCGAGTGGGGACCGAACCCCCGGTTCTCCATGATCCCGCTGGCCGGGGCCGTTTCCCCAGAGCGGAGAGGTATCTGCTGCGCCTGAGATGAGTAAACTGTCGTTTCGGGCGCGGGCGCTAGACGCCTCGAAGCCGCTGCCGGTTTTCCGCTGTGAGGATCTGCCCGACCTGCACGAATACGCCTCGATAAACAGGGCCGTGCCGCAGATGCCCACCGGAATGGAGAAGGAAGAGGAGTCGGTACGTGTTAACTCCCCTGTCCGACCCACCGTCAGGCCCGCTCCCTCTGCTGCCTGCGGCGGCGGCGGAGCAGCAAACCCACACAAAATGGCCGCCATCTTCTCTTCGCCGCCGACTCTCAGTCGCCGGCCGGGCCTATACCCCGCCTCCCCCGGCCTCGACCCCCGGTCGCCGCGGCCCGGCGGGGCCCCTTCTAAGGCCACCCGCCGACCCCGGCCACTTGTACCCGGGTCCCGCGCAGTTCGGGGGCCCGAAAGGCACAAAGGGGTCACGTGACGAAGCTGCCGGCAGCCATTTTGTGTCTTAGTTCTTGGGTTGGGCCTTGTGCATCCGGAGAGGGGAACGGGCTGGGTGGCGGTGGGGGTGCGGCGAGCCGGGAGCCGTGGAGGACCCGCCTGCAGGCCTCTCCGTGGGCCGCTGGGTGGCGCTCTAGGGCCACTGCGGCCCGCGCGCCGCTGCCCGGGCCGGGAGCGCAGGTTCTGTGCACGGTCGCGGAATTTGATTGCCCCATGGCCTGGGAAGCTTGTTGGGCTCAGTGCAGCCCCCACGTGGAGCCTCAGACGGGCATGTCATGTTGCCTGCGGCTCTATGAGGCTTTTCTCCCCTCTGCAAGGAAATGCCGAGGGTGCAGTGTGTTTGCCCGGACGACTTACTTTCCTAGAAGATAAGACTTATTCTCAATGTCCTCTTTCTGGGACGTTTGCATCCATCCCTCTCCAGAGCTAGTTGTTTGGAGGATAATAAACCACTATCCCTGACGTTTTCTGTGATCCTTGCGAGTATCTTGCAGATTTGTTTGGAGTGCTCTCTCTTCCGAAGCCTGTAATCTTATCTATTTGTAAAATAAATTTAAGTTCTCCTGCTTTCTGGTATCTCAACATAGGGGGAGAAGAGACCCAATTTAAGTAACTGTTATAGATCTAAATTTCGAAGGAGGATCCTTATTCAAAACCGAACTAAAACTAAGTGACTTGATTCACAGAAATCTTAATATTGAGATGTCTAAATTGGGTGGGTTTCAGCACGTAAATGACTGTTAACAACTAATAGACATTTTACCATCGCTATGGCTTTACCTTGTTGTGGAAGTTGGGTTCAGACACCAGGATAATAGAATCTTCCTCTCGTTTCCCCCAGATCCTTGACAGTATAACTTGATGACTTCTAAGCCTAAGGAATTGCATACCTTGGTTTTCAGGTACAGCCATTTAAACAGGGTGCAGTGTATTGACAGTTCAAGGAAGTCCAGCAGTCGCGTGGATTTGTGTGCTACAATTTTGTTGTGGAAAATTGTACTGTAATACTTCTCTTGGTACTGTAAGAATTTTTATTGTAGAAATTATGCTCTGTACTGTTGTTTTTGGAAATAAAACTGTTTAAACTCTTTGGGTTGTTTAACCTTTTAAAGTAAAATAGCTGTGACAGTGGAATGTTACTTTTGAGAGTAGTGTCTTAAATCTAACTTCACAGATAAGCCAAGTGTATGTAGTAGCTGAGATTGTCTAGTTGGGCACTGACTTTCAGCACATTGTCTTATGAGACACTACCTCTTAATTTATTTTACTTGTATCAACTTTAGAGTAGCATGGTGCCATTTGTTTATTTTTTAATAAGTGATTTGTTTTTAAAATTAAAGTACTTGTGACTGCAGAATCTTGTCTTTTGGTTTTATTTTTATTTCTGTTTATAAGTTTTACAGATAATACTTTCAAGTATTGGGGTGTTGGTGTTACCCTGCCCTGGAAATTAATTTGTAGTTCTTGTTTTACAGGCAAGGAAGGGGAAAGCCTTGATTAAAGCAAGACAGCACTACAGTACACTTTAGACATTAGTTAAGTCTTGCTTCTGTGAATACTTTGGACAGTCCCAAGAGTTACAACCTAAAGTCAGAGCTGAGCTCAGTGAAATACCAATGCTTGTTAAATTTTACAGGTAATTTTATTCGCTGAAATAATTTTGATTTTTTTTCTTTTCTGAGACGGAGTCTCACTCTGTTGCCCAGGCTGGAGTGCGGTGGCACCATCTTGGCTCGCTGCAGCCCTCCACCTCCGAAGTTCAAGTGATTCTCCTGCCTCAGCCTCCCCAGTAGCTGGGATTATAGGCGCTTGCTACCACGCCCGGCGGATTTTTGTATTTTGAATAGAGACGGGTTTTGCCATGTTGGCCAGGCTGGTTTTGAACTCCTGACCTCAGGTGACCCCCCCCCCCCCGCCTCGGCCTCCCAAAGTGCTGGGATTACAGGCATGAGCCACCGCGCCCAGCCAGTTTTGACATTTTATACTGCAGTGGCTATCAATAGTTTGTGACATGTGGAGTCCCTAATTTTGAAACAGGCATTTTTTTTCCTTCAGATTGCCTTTTTCTGTTATCTGTTTAGAATTTTTCACTTCACATCCAACCCAAGCTATGTATGAGGAGAGAAGCGTAGACCTCAAGAATAGATACCGAACCTAATGGAAGAATGTAAAAAGTACCCCGTAAACAAGCTGCTGTACAGTCCTGTGGTTCATGCTGTTAGTGGTAGGCTGTGTAAATCATAATATTGAAAGTAGTGTGTTATGCAATGTTGAAAAGGTATACTAAACATAAAGGTAATTGAATTCTGGATTCACCATAGAAAAACAGAAACTTTTTGATGATTTGTGGAAGCATTTTGTACTTCTAATAAAGAGGAAGGGTTAAAGCAAACTTCTGCCTTTAACTGACACATTAGTTATTTGTTATCTTGTTAGGTCACTGTAACCTAGAACCTGAATTGACTGTCTCAGAAAAAAAAGTATGTAGTCCTATGTTGGTCCTGAAAGGTGAGGACAGTTTTTGTTATACACCACCTCATTAAAGCATTTTATTGATCAAAATAATCTGCAGAATTGTCATGTGAAATACGCCTAGTAATTGTTATGTTGTTTCTGGATATACTTGACAGAAATCCATGTCTTTTAACATTGGGAAAATAAGTATTATTCGTGTATTCCCATTTAACCAGTTCTAATAATATGAGCTGAACATACGGACCTAACGAGGCAGACTTTTTTAATTTTTAAGAAACAAGTAGAAGCCCTTACCCCCCCAAAAATAATTTGGAGGTGGAAAATGTTACTGAACTTTCTTATTTTTTAATTATTGTGGTAGTACTGAAAAAGTAATTTCAGATTGTGATAAATTGGAGAATTTGACTGGATCAAAGATGTTAGAGATTAAATGTGAATTCGCAGAATGTAATGCATCGAAATTTGCTAAGTCTGAAAGTAACAGATTGGCGAGATGCTGTGTCTCATGCCTGTAATCCCAGCACTTTGGGAGGCCAAGATGGGTGGATCACCTGAGGTCAGGAGTTCGAGACCAGCCTGGCCAACATGGTGAAACCCTGTCTCTACTGAAAATACAAAAATTAACCAGCCGTGGTGGCGGCTTCCTGTAATCCCAGCTATTCAGGAGGCTGAGGCAGGAGAATCACTTGAACCGGGGAGGTGGAAGTTGCAGAGGGCTGAGATAACCCCATTGCACTCCAGCCTATACAACAAGAGCGAAACTCCGTTTCAGAAAAAAATGATTTAATTAAAAATAAAAAGGTAACATGCTGAAAATACAATGTATTTAAGTACAGATGTGACTTAAATCACAGCGAAATAATAGACTTTCAGCTCTGAGATAATTGAGTCCCTTTGGGGTTTAAAAAAAGATAAAAGTTTAAACAAGTGCTTGGTTGGTGCAGGGCATATGTCCTATTATAAATATTTTACAATGTTAACTTTAAGATTATAATTTAATTATCTTTATAATCTTAAACCTTGTGCTATGGCTTTGCATTCTATTGAAAGGTTAAACTTACCAAATAGATTAATACTATCAAATATTTTTATTAAAATTGACTCGATTAAAATTGGAGCTTTATGTTGTTACGATTCTCCTTTACAGAAACATCACTTTAAGAGACATTCTTAAAAAGTCGATTTTAAAATGATACTTAGCAAAATGGAGCTACTGTTCCATAGTAGTTTAACTTTTCATTGGGTTGTCTAGGGTGCATTGTTCCATTTATGAGGGGATGACAACCTTTCCTCTTCTGTTACCTCGACTGGTTTGGGTAGAATATTTGGTGTAATTAAGATGTTAATGATGTTATATTGATACTACCTTACAGTCACCTTTGAAACTGTTACAAGTAGGATCTAACCACCATAATCCAGCACCTTAGTTCTATAGGATTCTAACAGGACAGGATAGTCTTTATACTCCCACCTTTTCTGTATTACTGGCACCATATACATTGTTACTAAGCCCAAGTTAAGAACTATTTATAAAAAGTGGATGGGAGTTGTTTGTTTGTAATTATGGGGAAATGGGAAATATGTACATATCCTTGATATGAGAAAAAAAATGGTTACTGCATTTCCAAAACTTAGTAATAAAAACCTCGTTTAAATTTAAATCACTTTTGAAGGAAACCAAGAGTCTCTTTCTTTTACCTTTAATATTTTAAACCAGTATTTTTAGTCCCTTTATCTGGAGCTGTAAAGATCAGTCTAGATTTCTCCATTCTATCCACTGTCTTGGAAGTGAAGAGAAATACATGAAATCTCAATTATAGTAGAAGAAAGTTTAACAGACTAATTACACATAGTTTGAATTAGAAAATAATTGAGAGTATGGGGATTTTTGCATTAGATTATAATTAGTTCAGATAAAATCAAAGATAGTAATAAAATATTTCAGCTTTCTATACTGTCCAAAGATATTTTTGCATAAAGTTGCTAAGCTAGGGTTCTGAGGGTTATGTGGAAAGAATTGTGGAAGTGATGAATTCCCACCATATGCCTATAAAAGGTTAGAATATATTTTTCTAGGGAGAAGGTTCACACTTGTCATCAATTTCTCAAGGTGTTGGTAATGGCCTGGGGCAGAAAGCCCAGGGTTTAAGATCAACTGTCTCATAAATTTCAGACTGAGTCATTTTTGGTTTTATCTCATTTGGCAGTTACTAAATAGACTTAGTCAAA